TTCCGGACGAATAATGTCCGAATTCATTGGGTTAAGATCTAAAATGTATACGTTCAGAATCTTCAAAAGTGAAAGTGAAATGCAGCAAGATATGAAACGAAAAAGACAGGAGCTGGAAGAACAAGACCTTAATGAACAAGAAATCGAGAAGGCTATGAGCAATTTAGGTGTCACAAAAAAATTAAAAGGTGTTCAAAGAGCTGCACTGAAAACTATCACTTTTGAAGATTATTATAATTGCCTATTCAATAATACTTCTACCGAAGTCAATCAATATCTGATTAGGTCTCAAAAACATGAGGTACATACAATTGAACAGAAAAAAGTCGCTCTGAATCCCTATGATGATAAAAGGATAGTTGATTATCTCCATACTGATACATTGCCCTGGGGTTAGAATTTTTCCATAGTTTGTATTTCAATCAAATTATATTTTTCATCTTTTGTTTCAATCCAGACGCTGTAAACATGAGTAACGCCAACAACAACAACAACAACCATAATTTGATACAAGAAAATAGTATAAGCAGCTCCTCTGGCAATGGAGAAGGTACACCACCGGGCATCAACGGACCATCAAGATACCAATGCACCCGTTGTGGTAAACTGTTCCCCAGTTACACTGGATATGGGTTATGCTATACATGTCTCCGGACTGAAAATGAAAATGCGTATAGAGATCGGCTACAGCGCCAAAGGGACATGCATAGTAGATTCAAGCGACAACGCTAGTATCCAGTGTGTGAACATCAACCCATCCAGCATCAGTCCACTGATAATCTCCAAACAGGCAACACGCGTGATGTCAATCAAAATTTTCATCATCCTACTGCTGTTGCATGTAGCAGAATTAGCACCCCAGAAATTATTCTCAGAATATACTCCAAAGAACAGTACCCTATACATCCAACATGAGATACCCAATAGGGCGACTTTACAAGTCACTTACAGCAATCTGTTAACAAAGTATCCTGATATCAAGGTATATTCGATTCAGTCTATGGAGAATAGTGGATTAATGCTCCAATCCAACAACAACAACTACAACAAGAGCAACAACGAGCCTACAAAATATCCAGGTTTCAATTCATCAGATCACTCTATGTACACTGGTGGAGGGTTGATGCAGGAATATAACATCGGTGGCAGTGGGGCAGTGGTAGCATCGCCTACAGTAAATTGTGAATCGTATAAAAATCAGATCGAAAACTATCAAGAAGAGTTGAACAATACGATTGACGAGTTATTCGAAACCAAACAAAAGTTCAGTAACTGTAGCCAAGAACTGCAAATCAAGGTGAATGAAACAGCTACAGAGTTGAACCAAATTAGATCGGATATAGCCGCATGTATGACACTCAGTTCTGGATTCAAGATAGAAGCTGATTTGTGGGCCTCAAGATATGCAGATTTAAAATTCGGAAAGTCATCTACGCCCGCACCTAGCAGTTCAATAACAAACAATCAGAAGGATTCTTCTGCATACCTTACTTTGGAATGGAATTATTCTAGCTGCTTGCAGGAGCTGAGACGTTGTAAAAGTCATTATTGATATTGAAGCTCTTTCCATATATGTTATTTATGATAAATAAAAATCTCTTTACGCTTTGAATATTTTTATTCTTTATTCATTTGGGAATCAATACATGCAAACATAATATTGATATGTCATGTTTCCTTTCTTCGGGACATCAATCATCATCTTCATTCCTCATTGATTAACCATATTGTTATACGTTCACATGTTTCACAACGTATCATTTTAGTTTTTCTAACTCCCCAACCCAGCGTATTACTGATAAGGGTGCATTTGGAGGTTCTCCAACAACCCGTACAAGTATATGAAACATACATCCTGAAAATTGTGCTGTCAAGTGGAATAGTCTTCTTCAAGAATGATTCACATCGACACCAACAGCTCCTTTTATACTTATCAACATATCACGTAACTTATTCACTTGGATTTTCTCGATAACATCTAGATGAACCCAAAGTTCCATGTTGTTTTTCGTGAGAATCACATGATTCATTTCATCCTCTGACCAATAATTCAATGTTAAATCATCGAATGTATATTCGTAATCGCAAAACACTTTCAGGGCACTATCTTGCTTTTCCATAAAATCCAAAAACTCTTCGAATTCACAATGAGACAACATAATTTGTCTTTTAGTATTTACATCTTCTATTGTAACTATATCACTTGCCAAGACAGTTATTTTCAAATCATTTTCCACATTATATTTAAGAAAAATGGGTATTGGCCTGATCTGCCTATGACAGGCAGCGACATGCCCCTGACAGAATCTTTCTTCATCATCAAAAACTTGCGACCACATCCTCGTAATTTCATGTATGTAATGATTGAATGCTTTTTGAGATATAACTTCATTTGATGGAAAAAATTATAGATCAAAGTACAATTACCAGGTTGAAGAACAATGTATCTCTCAAACATTCATTATAGGAACATGAAATCTATTATGAATTACATATTATGCAGCACCAAATACATGATACTGTTGACCTCTGGGTCAGCTTGCGATATCCAATTGATATTTCAAACATGTATATAGGGTGATTGAGGTCTGTGGAACTAGAACTTGGAACATATAATTGTGAATCAGTAAAGTAGGTGAAACAGGTGAAATGTACCTATAGGTGACAGGTGACAAAGTGAATCTTCGGTGACAACAGCTTCTGGTCATTGTCGATGACACTTGTGCACCTGGAAAAGTCTGCACAAACCACAAATAGGCAAGGTGAATCGCAAATTCATTCGGTGACACAGGTGAGACAGGTGAAAATACATGTGACAAGGTGAATCTCCGGTGACAACACCTTCTGGTCATTGTCGACGACACTTGTGCACCTGGAAAAGTCTGCACAAACCACAACTAGACCCCCCTATTGTCTGCAAGAGCTCGAGAACTGGATGGACTGGGCCCAGGTACGCGGTAGCTTATCTACTATGAAAGCTTATACAGGGGGGTTAAAAATGAAAACAATGAATACTTCCAACTTCAACATCCTGTATTTCAAAAACGGACCAAGTTAGGACCCTTATTATTTGAACTTTATTTAAACCCTTGATATTTTTTTGTGTTATTTAGAAGCATTAAACATATGGTTCACACATCATATGCATATTCTTATCTTCTCCTATTGTTGTAATGATTTTTAGATTTGTTTCTTGAGGAATCTCTTTTCCTTATACAATATACACTCATCATTCGAATGAATATTTTCTTTCGAATGTTATAACCGTTATTACAAAACAGGTGAATTTTGAGAGAATATATAATAAAAATAATAATACCCTCATGATATGTAGAGTTTTTATTACACTCAATTATAAATAATGGTTACTCCTCGGTTTACTCTTATTCAACTACGAAGAAAAAAGTATTATCACAATAATATTTCTAACCGAGATTGAACCCAAATACAATAATTTAGATCTCGACTAATGTACTGATCCTTATACAAACTGAAAATATCGCAGAGATATAGGGATGGTTCAGTCAAGTTTCATTTCCATTTTGTGCCATGACTGAATTCGATTTTATGAGAAAATATGGTGAATTTTTTAGGAGGCGTCGGTCTAGAACACGCAATATTTTACTGACCTTCATATACACAGAGCTACTACGTGTGATTCATCTAAAAATAAGAGGATTGGACCCACCTCATCCATATAAAAAATGTACTGTTTGTCCGTGAGACGAGTTCAAAGGTTACATAAAAAAAACATATATTTGTGCGCTGTACAACAATGAGTGAAACAAATTGGATGAAAATTGACAAAAAGGCATTTCAGAAAATATCCCTTCTTTCAGTAAACAAAGGAACCTGAAAGAAAATGTAGAAGGGTTGAAACCACCCTCTCCCCATCACATTGTTTTCAGAACATTCCTAATCCGGTTACTCCTGTGAAAACTTCATATTCCGCATAGTTCCGAAGGAAACAATTTATTTCCTAAATAATGCAGATTACGGATATTCCTAGTAAAAGTTTGATAAAATTGTATTACAAAAGTATTCGGCAGTGGAAACAAACGAATTAGCATTTGTATTCATTAGATGTGGGCGTCATATTGAACATTAATTTTAAAAAAATTGCCTTTGTTCTCTAAATTTTTCATTACAATGATATCGAACATTCACTAGGAATATCTGTCAGCATTATTTGAGAAAACATGTTTTGCCTTCGGAACTATTCGGACTACTTAATTTTCGCTCAGAGAATTAGGGATTATTATACCACTCCTGAGAATATTCGGAAAAAAATGTAAGGTGATGAGGGTGGTTTCCACCCTTCTTCAATTTCTTCTGAGTTCCTTTGATTACCGAAAGAAGGGTACTCTTCTGAAATGTACTTATATTAAATTCCATCCATTTTCATTTTTGAACAGTGTACAAACGGTACATTTTGTTATAATATGAATGAATTGGGTACAATCTACTTACTTTGACTTATATTACACGTGGTACCTCTGTGTCAGAGCAATTTGGAGACACATTGTATAGTATAAATCTTCAAACGATCATCCTAATCTACGTACTTACTCAATCATATATTTGCAACTATAATTGAATATCAGTTATTTGTACGTACTTTCTTGAGGTTGAAGACAATTTGAAAAAAAAAACAATAATTTCATCGTAAAAGAATTTTCTAGGCATACCTTCAACCTTTGACCTTTATATATAACAATTTATTCATAAAATAGTGTAAGGATACGATTTTTTCGACAATTATACATGAACGGTGGTCCAAAATTGTCTTCTGATACATCTGTAGCTGATAGTATATTCCATGGTTTATACAAATACAAATACCTACGGTCTCGCAATTTTTCATGTCAATATTTCTCGTAAAATTACTGATTGGCAATTATTTTTCGTTAGGAAGAGTAATTTATCCCATGGAAAAAAGGTCATGTGATTTTACTGTTGAAAAAAATGCATATTTATATTACATCCATGCTGCGAGTTCCCTAATGTACATTTTTCTTTATATAAATACAGGGTGAGTCAAAACTATCAGGACATAGGCAGAGGGCGTATTATTTGGACCAAATTATGGCGAAAAGACCATACATGACTCAATAAAATATTGCTGTGGAAAAAGACACAGGGCGTTGAAGTTGATTTTCTTTCCTTTTTTTTTGCTAATAACTTCAGATGTATGATTGCATGCAAGGAATATTATTTTATGTATTATTCGTGTCAGATCACCAGAATGATCCTCCCGCTTCGCAGTCGGATTATTTCAACTGTCAAACTGACACTCTTTGTAATTATGCAACAAGTTATTGATGATAGTATAACTAATGAGAATATTCCGTTGCAAAATTTCAAAATTTGATTCTGAATCCACCTATACCTACTACCAGCCGCAGAAATATGGGGACACAATTTTGGACAACCGTGTATAACGAGTTACCGCAACATCACAGAATCACAAAAAAAATTAAGATGAAAATAAGAATTCACTGAATGGGCGCATAATTTTCAATTATCAAACTCGTGCTCTCTGATGTTTGATCAGAAGACTGCAAAGCTTCAGACGTTCCTGAATCATTATTTACTTCAGCAATAGAACTATGTGTGGAACTCTGTGTAGGAGGCAGTGGAAAATAGTACATGGGACTGGAATAGGGCATCCCTGGTAACTGAAAAACGTTCTTGGGAAAAGTAGAAAGAGGCTGAAAATTACTCGTCCTAGCAAACGCATTCTCAACCTTCGGTAAAACGTTGAAATTTGGCATAGATTCCAGCTTCACTGAGTCCTGTCTCATCAGATAAGGCATCAGCTGCTTCATCACGTCAGAATCTGGGTCCTGAGAAGCTAGATCTACGTCATTATGCACAGTCAGATGCCTTTGCAGGTGCTGTTTCTTTTTGAATCCTTTTTTACAGAGCGGGCAGAAGTGTGAAGGCGGTTTTCCACATTCTTCTCTTTTGTGGTTGCACAAATTCGTTCGGTGTTTGTATGATCTTCCGCATTGGTCGCAGGTGAAACGCTGTTTGGTGTGTAGTTGCCAGGCTAGAAACGATCGTGTCATTAAAAGGAGCTGATACGGGATTCATTCACATTTTCCTATACATGAAAATTCACATTGAAAATATAGCCAGCTAATTGAGTTGAGTTTGTACGCATTAGTCGAATTTACGCCACAAACCGATTTTATATTGATCATTCCCTGTATAATAGTTATTCATGTACCAAGGACGAACAACTGTCTATTATAGTCGACTCTGCAAATTGATAGCCGAGGCTAGCAATCATCTTGCCTGAAAGACAGTTTTTCGTCGAGGTGCATATCAAATTTTTTCGTCAACATCTAACACTTATATCCATATCATAAAAAATATCGATATATCGATATAGATATCGAATAACGATATATCAATATATACCGATACATATTGACATATATTTTTGATGATATCCTGATTCGATTATATCGAAATATATCGATATATTAATATTTTTGCACAGCCCTAGTGTAGGAATGAGGGTGATGTGTGGAATCAACGATACACTTTTCTCCGTCTATACCGTGGTGTTACCCAAAGTAACGAATTTTGATCCATCGACCATCAAAGGTGGCATCGAAGCTTTCGCATCTGGGTAGTTGAGTTTGGTTGGGTGATCTGTGGTATCAGAAATAATAATAATAATAATAATAATAATAATAAGGAGGAGGAGAAACGGACTAAATATCGAGATCTTCCCTTCGAACTCCGCCGGCTCTATCCAGACCATTCTGTGGAATTGGTCATCCTGATAATCGGCTCCCTAGGAGTAACTGTGCTAGGAGGCACACGACATACGCTACTCCCGGAAATCCAAAAAATCCCAGCGTGCAGTGATAAGGCACACATCCTGGCTGATGGAATGCAGAAAGCTGTCATACTAGGATCATTGCGTTTACTCAGTGCACACGGTCCTTGGTCCCAGTGATTATTCACCTCACAGGCTCTGGGGAGTAGTCACTGGATTTTATCCAGCACGACTCTGCGTGGCGTCGGAGGCCACAGGGTCGTGACTGGAATTATATGAACTTGAATAATAATAATCACTCATCTCACTTCCGTCACTATCCATTGAGCTCAGGAAAACCAGAGGAGCACACTCATGCAATTGGAATGGAATTTGGAATTGACAAATGTTCACTGGTTCATCTCAAGAGAGGACGATGCGAGAAATGCGACAAGGACGCGCAGCTCGTGACGGAAGCATCCTACACCACCTGGATGCCGGAGAGACGTACACCTCCCTGGGTGTAGAGGAAACTCACATCCAGGAGGCACAACGAGTGAAAGACGCACTCCGCAGCAAGTATCGACAGCGGCTCCGACAGATCTGGTCGTCCAAACTGTCGGGAAATATCAAAGTCGCTGCTACTAACATGCTTGCTGTTCCGAACCAACTTTACTTATTTGGAATGATAAAGTGGACTCAAGTCGAGCTGCGACAACTGACGTAGGTACTCGCAAGATGATGCATCTCCATAGGAGTGTGCAACCAAATTCGCAGTTCCACGGTCATACATACCTAGAGACCAGGGTGGCCGTGGACTCTTGAGCTTGGAGTATCTCCATAACAAAATGGTTCGTAAGGTGCCTGCAAAGTTATCAGGAGTTCGGATCCCCTCCTGCAAATGGTTAAAACCCATGAAGAGGCAGGAGTAGGAGCTTCTCTTTTTAGGGCAGCACGTCGAGCAGCCAATGAATTGTCTCTGATTTTCTACTCCGAGCGCGAGGCTCAGGACTCAGTTACTGAGATAGAGCCCACTCGGAGAAAGGCCCGCATCAAAGCTGTAGAAGTGAGAAAGCTCCTGCAGCTTCACATGGATAAGCTCATGCATTCGGTCTACTTCAAGACTATTGAAGACCGGGGCTTATCCAAAGAACTGACTTTTGCTTTTCTAGAGTCAGGCGGGCTAAAATCGGAAACAGAGGAGTTGATCATGGCATACCAGGATGAGGTTTTCAACACTCTCCTCTAAAGTAGCCGTATGGAGGTCACTGACACAAATTGCAGGGCGCCCGAGACAATTATGCACCTGCTGTCTTCTTGCACGGTGTATACAGTCTCGGCCTATATCCATAGACACAATGCGGCATTGCGAGTGCTCTACTATCATTTGAGGCACTCGTACGGAATAGACGAGACCCCAGTGCTGCCCTATGCTCCGGGAGATATTGGGTCCGTTGTGGAGGATGAGAGGTGCCGAATTTATTGGAACTCCTCATTCCCTACCCTCAGGCAAATACAAGCTAACAAGCCTGATGTAGTCCTCCTCGACCATCAAACGAAAGCGATGATCGTGATCGAAATTTCGGCGCCAGTCATACCGAACATCGTTTTGAAGGAGGAGGAGAAACGGAGAATCGAGATCTTGTCTTCGAACTCCGCAGGCTCTTTCCAGATCATTCTGTGGAATTGGTCATCCTGATAATCAGCTCCCTAGGAGGCACACGACATACGTTGCTCTCGGAAATCCAGAAAATCCCAGCGTGCAGCGATAAGGCACACATCCTGGCTGGTGGAATGCAGAAGGCCGTCATACATGGATCATTGCGTTCTCTCAGAGCACACGGTTCTTGGTCCCAGTGATGTGGGGAGTAGTCACTGGATTTTATCCAGCACGACTCTGCGTGGCGTCGGAGGCCGCAGGGTCGTGACTGGAATAATATAAATTCAAAATAATAATAATAATGATAATGATAACAATAATAATATTTATTCACCATTTTTGATACACTTGGTACATCAATATGACATATAAAAAAAATTATAAATAAAAGAAGCGATATTAAGAAAGACAATTTAGACCAGCTCAATTGAAATAACATTGAGAAGAAGAATTCTTGATGGTAACAATAATATGGTTTCTGTAATAGGAAACAATTCACTTTACCATGAAATATCACATGACACTTTTGACTTCGTGAGGTAAGTTATCATAACAGAGGTCATGGCATTATAATGAAGGGATATTTTTTAGATTGCCATTTTGTGATGTGGTATCTGCAAAATATTCATCTTTTCGCGTGTTATGCTCATGTTATGCAATTTTCAAAAAAGGTCTAAGTTATTCCTCACAAACATAACGCATTTCAAAATGCAGATAGAAGGCACTGTTAATATTTATTTCTGTAAAAGTCCTTGTTGAATATAAGTCTCAAAATTCGTTATTGAGTTATGAAAATTCTTGAAGCCATTTCGCGGTCGCCAAGGTCATCAGATGACGTTGCGATGACATTAAAAACTACTGGAAAACATCCTAACTCCTGACGTAGATTGAAAGTTAGGCGTGTTTTCCAGTAGTTTTTGATGTCATCGCGATGTCATCATCATTTGGTGATTATTTTGACACTGTATCTGTCGCGTTTTTTGCTTTTACTGATGATATTATGATATGCGAATATTTTTCGGATATTTTTCTGTTGTGGAAAACTTATTGAGTTTCATCACGCTAAAAGCGGTGCTTTCTTGTCTGCTACTTTTCATCCTTTTGGTGTTTCTTTTGAATAGATATTTCAGAACCACGTGTGATTTTTGGGTCTACGACTAAATATCCCGTCCAAAAATATCCTGTCAAAAATATCCTGCTGAAAATAACCTTATCATTTATATCCTTTATAAAATCATTATAATAATTTGACTGAGGAATGGAAATCTTATTGGTCAGGCTATCATTGTCTAAATATATTAATGTGCAGGTTATTTTCGGCAGGATTTTTGACAGGATATTTTTGTACTGGATATTTAGTCGTGCTCCCTGATTTTTCACTAAAAGGTGTGAATTGACACCACTGTACACAAATTTCTAATGATATTGATATAATATTGCTAATCAAGTGTTGATTCAATCGGAGTTATTTCTGAAATCCACTCGATTGAAATTACACCCGCAAATGTTTCACTGTGTATGACACATATAGTATCGTTTATTCAAGGTGGCATAAATATGCTTCTCCCAGTTGAAGATCAGAATCAAGGTAGGTTCCTAAGAATTTGGTCACATGAGAGGATTGACTATCGTCATTGAGAGACCTTATTCCTATATTCCATATCATCTGCCGAAAGATCCAGCGTCCAATAATTCGAATGACTGTCAACACGTGGCATCTTCACGAAATATTTGTACATTGTCAGATCATGCCTAATACTATTTCGCCAACCCGTCTTACACACCCTATAGTAGGGGAATTTTCTCATAATGAATTCGTAGATTTCGTTTACGGACATGCGTTTATCAGGGCTGCTTCGTATTGCCATCATTATGAGAGCCTTGAAGCTGAAGGGTGGTTTCTCTGGTGCTTCATTATCCCCTGAAAAAAAGTAGGTTTGGCAAATATTGTATTTACCTTCGTTATCGTCATTAGTCACCGTCACCTCTTTTCACCATTTCAGATACAGTATCAATATATACGATGCCTGAAAAATTTCAGACATAGGGAACAATCAACAATCCCACTGAGCAAATTTGAGAGCAATGTTGATGCAAGGTTGCAGCAATTACTGAAACGGCCTTTCAGCAATATTGCAAATGTAAATTTGTGAATGTAACGTTCCAGCAATGTCAACATGTAATATTGCTGCCACGATCCTTCAACTTTGCTCAGTGGGAAGTGACTCAAAGTCATTACCAAAATAGTTCACAAAATGGACGAAAATGGTAAATAACGAGAGAATAACAACTACTTTCCTGGCTATATGCCACGCAGAACATTTTGAATCATATCCTCCTGATATAGGTATATCCAACGACTCGTAAAGACGGAAGTGATTCTTTCCTATATGCTGTGCCCAAATCCGATCAATTTTATTTGAAATGGGAATTTGTTTTGGAGTGTTTATTTTTTTCGCCTCGTGGGTATTTAATGCTGGGATGTGTTTAGGTTGGTCAGGTTCGCACCAGACGGCGGTCAAGAGGTCATCTGGAGACACCCCTGCACTGACGAGGGTCCAGAGCTCGAAACCGGTCTGTAGGTAGTCTAGCGTTCCTGAACGATTTGGGCACAGCTCAAACTTTAGCAAAGAATCCAC